ATTATTTTTTCTAGGTGAAGACCCATGTACTATTATGCTTTTCTAGAAGAAGACCCATGTACTCTCAAAGTTTCACACGATTCTTTTTTTTTCTAGGTTCTTCCTGTAGAGCCATGGCGTTACTTGGATCATTTATTAAAAGTTTATGGGTTACCAACTCTTTCTCTGTAGCCTTCGAGACAGAACTCGGGAAGTTGGTAGACGTTGTTGTCATTGGAGCTGCTCAACGATTCAGACGTGGGTCAGTAAACATAACTGTGTGTGTTAGGCTTGGCACAAACGCATGTTTTGGTGTGTAGCACAAAACCATATTCTGTATTTGTTTTGTTTGTTTGTTATTAAGGACAAAGCTACACAATGAGGTATCTGTGCTACGTCCATCACGGGTAGCATTATAAGTCCTCAGACTCACCGCTGTGTCACTGGGGGGATTGTGTATTCAAACACTGGCACTTTCTTGTGTTTTAACGAAAAGTTTTTCCTTGTCATGTAAAACCAAAACGCTTTCTCTGAATGTGTGAAACATACTTGAGTGTCGATTAAATATTAAACATTTGTTGTCGAATAAAACTGGGGGTTGACATAAACACTGTCTTGTGTTGTGCTACGAACACCATCTTGTAAATAGCTCAAATACTATTTGGTGTTCTGTGAGCCCAATTGTTGTATGTGAAGCGACAATTTCACCATTTTAAATGTTTGTGGACAAATACTACTGCGTGACTCAAGCACAAGTTTCTAGTGTGGGGGAGGAGTTATAGATATTTATTTGAGATGTGTTGGAGAAAGTCGTTTAAAGCGTTGGGTGTGACAAACAATTTTGGTGTGATATGACACAGCATTGTTGGTTATGACACTAGTGTTTGATACGACACCGTAGTGTGTGACACAAACTATTGTTTTTGGTTATGACAAATATTTCTGGGGATTTTAACGCAAACACTGCTTTATCTATTGTGGTGTTAATATAACTTTGGTGACACAAACGTTGAGGGAACAGCGGTTAGTTTACGGACTTACAACTCTAAAATACGGGGTTCAATTCTTACAGCAGTTAGCCCAATGTGGCTTTTATCTATAATAAACAAACACGAACGCTGATAAGTGGTGTATGGCTTGTTTTTGTTTGTTGAATTTCGCACAAAGCTACTCGAGGGCTATCTCCGTCCCACACTTTGAAGTGATAGACTAGCGGAGAGGTAGTTAGTTAACACCACCAACTCTTAGGCTACTCTTTAATCAATGAATGTCATAACAACCAGAAGGCCTAGAAGTGTGGCAAACTCTTGTTTTGGCATACATTTCAAAAGGCCTAGAAGTGTGGCAAACTCTT